TTCCATCATCTTCCACTTCAATTTCTTATCCAAATCTTGAGTTTTAACCGATTAATTTGCAAACTACTCCATAAAACTTACTTTCCAAGTAGTTTCCAAGGTGTTTGTGGAGTTATTTTTGGAGGACAAAGCCTAAGCTACCATCTTTCTTAGGGAGATAAGGTATTTTACCAAGAACATTAACTTTACTTCAATTCATTGCTTATTAGTGGTTTTTAGTTGTTTTAGATGTTGTTTTGTGGAAGATTAACACTTGAAGGCATGAATTCCAGTTTAGGGTTTTCAATTTTTCTTATTCTGTCCGGTGCTGTTACGCCTAGTTAGAAGCTGAATTGGCCTTAGCACAAAACCTAAAAGTTGTAGAGGATGATGTTTTATAGTAGCCTGAAAAATTTCAGCTCAATTGGAGTAACGTAGCCTATGAAAAGACCAAACTACCCCTGCTACCCTGTTTCTATTCGAGAATAGTAATCAGCTTTGGTAATTGGGTAGTTTGACTGGGAATACTATCGATTTGGTTGTTTATGTCTTCTTAAGAATTCTAGCCTTGTATCTTAGCTTTCAAATGGGTTTAAAATTACCCGAATTGGAGTTGTGTGTGCTGAGATATGAGTGAATGAATCAGGACTGCTAGTTGAATTCTGCTGTGAATTTCGAACTGGAAAATCTGGGGATATTTTGGTAAATTTGACCTAGTTAGGGTGAGAACTGGACTAAATGGTCTTCATGAAAGTTGTAGAGAATGATGTTGTATAGGTTCCTGTAACTTTTCAGCCCAATCTGAGTTTCGTAGCTTGTGTAAATTCGGAAATACCCAGACTGGCCTAGGTAGGAGTTTAGCAAACAGGGTTGTCATTTCACCCAAACTGACCGTGACTTTTCACCCTGATTCTTACTGAATTAGATTTTGGCCAAAACATGAAAGTTGTAGCCAATGGTATAAAATAGTTGACTACAAAATTTGAACTTGATCCAACCACTGTAGCATGTGAAATGACCGAAATACCCTTAACTGTCCAAGAAACCTGTTTCGCGCCCAGATTTCTGTTTTCGTGTAGTTTTCCATTTTTTATCATGAAAATGCATGATTTGGCTTTGGAGGTCATCATAATAAATGTAGGCTTGTGTTTTGGCTTCGAAACGCCATAAGATACACTTCAATCGGACTTCAGTAGCCTGAGTTATTGCTGTTTAACAATTGTGCGGTTAGCCAACTTGTTTGTGAGATTCTGGTTTCGTATATTTCAATTTTGACCTAGCTACACTATGAACTGGACTGAGTGGTCTTCATCAAAGTTGTAGGCCTTTGACTTAGCTTCGAAAGGGTATACATTTCACCCAATCCGATAAGCGTAGCCTTAGTTGTGCCTCCTCCGCTAAGAGACATCAAACCTGCTATTTAGCTTTTGTCTTTAAAAACTTGATTTCTAGTTGCATTCCTAGACTTGCTTTGTGTTTGGATGGACTTGAGCCTAGTTGAAGGGCTATTGTATTGAGATTTCTTATGTGTTGAATTGGACTGACTTGAGGAAAAACAACGAAGCCATGATGGCTGGAAAAGTAAGCAAATTAAGGGGAAATGTTGTCAAATTTTCTGGGCCGTTTGGTTCCTTTAAGTTTGAGTTGCCTTTTGATAGAACTGAAGGGCTTTTGGGTTTTTGTGCCCTAGGTCTTCATGTTACCTTTTCGTTCCCAAAAAATCATGTTTTGCACCCTTGCATTAGTAATTATTTGGCGAGGCATGCGACTAGTAGTCGAGCCTCACATGTGCATTCTGTTTACTCGATTTTGGAAATGGAACCTTCAATTATTTTACTTAGGTTATTTTAGGGTTTCTTGGCGATTAAAGCCAGTTTGAAGTGAAAACTTTTGAAGTATCCGTACTTGAACCGGTAAGTGTACCACTCCCCTCACTTGTTGTTTAACTCGATTTCTGTACATGCAATCTGTGATATGAACGACTGAACTATCGTTTATTTTGTTTGAGACGAGGGTGTACTTTATCACACTTGTTCTCTTGTCTGTTCATATGCCAATTTTGGTGCAAATCTGAATCTGTTATCTGTATCTGTATCTGTTCTGACGCCGTTTGGAAGTTTGTATCCAACGACCTTTCTATAACCTCTGAGCTCAACACCTGTGGCTACTTACTCGAGTCGGGCCGGCAAGGGCCTGGTCGATTAGATAATTAACCACGGTAGTCTGTTTTGGGATCTTTGGGTATTGAGACCCTTGATTTCGGTATTCTCGAGTATTACCATTTCTGATCTGACTGGAGTTCGGGCTCGGTAGGGATATGTGAGGTGGAAGGAATCGGAGAAAGTGGAGTCTACGGTATTGGTTACTCCTTTAGCGTTGACGGAGTGTCAACTATTATTTCGATCAAGCTCCGGTGAAGCAAATGGGAATTTGGCTCCTGAGAGCCACCTTTATCCTTCCTATTTGAATCGTTGTGTCTAACTACTTTATTTTACATCTGGCATGTGTACCTGATTTGTTAAACGTGAAATACCATGATTTTACTGCTATATGTCTAGTACCTCATTGAGAACAAGCTCACCCCTTTCTGTTACCTTTGTTTTCCTTACAGGGTTCCATGTTTTGAAACCAAGATTTTTGGAAGAAAAGAGTTGAGCTAGTAGTAGGACTTCTCTTGTTTATGCTCATCTGTAACTAAACCCTAATTGTATTTTGTGTAGCGTGAATACTCTGACTTGTATTTTGGTTCATTTGTTCATGATTCCAATGTAAATATATGTATAAGTGTTTAATCGGCGTCCCGTACTTCCGTATGGTTTGGTGGTCTCTAATTGTTCGTTTTCGTTGAGGTCCCGCGCGTACTATATAAGGTTTGTGTGAATCGACTCCATAGTCCTGGCGAGAGTTGGGCAGGCGGTCCACTGAACCCTTTGGTTCGCCTTAGGGTGAGGTGGGGCTGTCACAGGTGGTATCAGAGCTGCTTCGCGTGGTCTCTGCGCGGAGTGAGGTTGGGCCAAGTAGTGTTATGGTCCTGCTTTTGGTGAAGGTGTCTAAAGTATTAAGTACTCTTTTGAGTATAAGCTATGAACCGTGCATGTTATAAGTGTAAAATCTCTATCATGGAACTTGAGGAAGATAGATATGTATGTCGGGTAGGAATCTATAATATGGATGATTTACTCTTGGGACCGGCCGGCTCGAGTTGTGAATTATCTTATATTAGATTTTTGGACCTGAGTACCAAAGGGTGGAGAGTGCTGAAATAAGAGTCTGTACCTTGATTGAATTTGAAGTAAGTCTTGATGGCAAAGGCCAAGGTATGAGAGCTCTTACATTTGACCTAGTAATTATACCGATTGAGAAGATTGGATATGGAAGTGTTATTATGGACGGATCTCATACTCGTCTGGCTAGGGTTTCTGGAGGGTGACTAGATTGTAGGGCACATTAAGAAATTCACACCTAAGACCTGTTTTCTTTTACTATGACCGTCAGGACTTGGTAAGTCTTTATTTGATTTGAGATGGCCTGACTGTAATGATCTAGGTTTTACCTCACTTTGAATATCTAATACCTGTAGCTTGGTCCTCGACGAACTACCTTGCCTGTAATTCCTTAATACCCATCCAATAATGTTCCGTATGAACTTGAATGAATTGTAATGAATGAATGAATTATATGTAATGAATGAACTATTGGTTATATGTAATGAATGAATTGAACTTCTTGTTTGCCTATGTGTTCGGAACCTCACTAAACTTTTAACTCATCCCTTTAGTTTTGTTTTCCTTAACAGGGAAAGGCGAGCAAGGACGAGAGCTCTGTATAGACTAGCTTGGTCTAACTCATGGTTTTTGTGATGGTTCTCGCCCTAGTACTTGGCACGGGCTGGTTGTATGACGAAATGAGAACCTTTGTATATTCGATGTTGTACTCCCGTTTGAGATAACAATGTATATAAGTTTCGCTTTAAGTTATGGATCGTTGTTATGTTTATTTTGTGGTTTTATTCCAGTTTTGATTGAGAACTGAAGTGAACGACTAAATTCCGGCGAGAGTTGAGCAGGCGGTCCGCCGAACCCTTTGGTTCGCCTTAGGGGGAGGTGGGACTATCACATTTTAAGTTCCTGTTTTGCTAGATTGTTGATTTTGTTATTTTTTATCAATCAACCCAAAGCTTTTTTTCTTATTTTTATTTTCTCCAATCATGTTTTCTATTCCTATTACTTGGCTTGATTATTTGTTAATATTACTACGATATTTTACGGTTCTGTATTCTATATTTTAGTCTATGACTCGTACTAATCCATTTAATGTGTAGAATTAGGCGTACTTTTTCTAAAATTTCTCCATCATTTATTACATTTGTATGTATACGCATGTAAAATCTATTACGTTTAACATCCCATAGTAATACTCATTAGAGTTTTAAAATAATTATAAATAAACACAAATATCACCTAACACTCGTTACATTAATCTTTCGTTCTATCCTCCAATATAGCCTCTTTTTTGTATCCTCATTATTCGTTTATTTATTTGTCTAAAACCTCTTTTTTTGTGTAGAAGTGAATAGTTCTCTTCATTAAAGTGTATATAATTACATAATGTGTATTTCTTTTGTTTTTACAAATTTGTACGCACATTCACCAAACTAATTTCATCACAAATTAACTCGAGAAACTCTACTCTCTTTAGTTGACAAATTCAATAGCATTATGTCTTGGTAGGTGATTTTGATTTCTCCAATTCCAGTTAATATGATAACAATATGATCATATAAGTCATTCTATGTAACTCGTGTGCATGAATCGTCAATGTACGTCAATATTTCTACAACTTATTGCACAAGATATTTACTCCAATTCTTTTTTACATCTTCAAACCAAATTTTGTTGCAGCTGCAAAAACAAAATATTTGCTCCATTTTTTTTTATTACAAACAAAATCTTTCACCAAATTATTTGCAGTTTTGTTCAAGTAACGAGTTAAGACCAAGCTAAGTAAGAAAACAAAGTATATGTATTAGACATAACCTCAGCCAAAAATCTGAAATGAGAAGGAACGTCCAAACAAAATGGTCATACAGTGTCTAAAATAACCGTTACAATTTGCAGCTCCCATGCAATGTCAAAATTTTAAGTACAAAATTCTAATTTCAGCTGCAAATTGCCATCATCTATATCCCGCCATACCCTAACCCCTCTCCATCAAGTCTATCAGAATCTTATTATCAAGTAAAGAATCAGAAACATTATGCTAAGCATCCTGTCTACATAGCAAATGACGACCTTCAAAGCCATTTTTAGGCAGGAAAACTGTTAAGGTTTAATCAGCAACTCTCTACCACAAGCCAATGGCCTTCCACCAGACCCCTCCAACTCCAAGCCAGATGAGAATATTGACAACAGACATCAGGAATCCATAACCCCACCATTGTGCAAGGGGCACATAGCCTGCACCATAGAACACAGGTGCCGATCCAATGCCATAGTGTGTTAGGCCGCCCATTAGGTTAGAGAGGAAGGAGAGAACCAATGCACCAAGGTATGATGGAGTGCCTAAAGCACTGGCAACAGATAAGAAAGCTGTGAACATGGCACCAATATGAGCAGCCCCACTGGCAAAGAAGTAGTGAGAATAGAAGTAGAGAAGAACAAGAATGCCGAAAGAAAGCTGCCAAGACAGACCCAATCCACCAACAAACTGCAAGAAAGCATATAAATTAACCACCCATAAATGTTGGATGCAATTGAAGGAAGGTCAGTTTCCATGGAGGACTACCAAAATAATATGTGCAGAATATAATCAATCATAACCCTTTTTTGTACTTGTTTCAGCCAACAATACTTGCTAAACTTACTGTAAGATATCCATCACATATGGAAAACAATCGCAACAATATAATTTGCAAAGGTATTAGATGAAGATGCAGATGGTTGGTTCTTTTCTTTTTCTTTATTTTTGGCAAGTCAAAGTGGACATTTTTTTACCATAGACATTCTTCAATTGACCAATAAGCACACATAAAAAAGTGTTGACATTTTTGCACATAATGGCACACAAAAATGTCTACAACCCCAAAAATATGCATAACTGAATCTAAAAGCACATATAGACACCATCCATGCACTTTGCCATAATAAATGATGATACCCTGTACAGTGAGAATAACTATTTTCAGACCGTACAAATTCTCATCAAAGAATTCCTTAATAACATACATGCTGGAAGAAAAAGCACATGAAAAATGAATCATGAAATGTGGAGAATTGGACAAAAGAATGAATCTCCGAGCAAAACAAAATAATATAAATGGCAAAGCCCAGAAGTTGCAGTGTTGGAGCTTCATGCATGTCAAATGGTAAAGGTCGTTTAGAACGGTAAAAAACGAGATACAAACATCATAATTAGATTATGGAGAGTGTAGAGAAAGTACAAATAAGTAACAAAATAAAGAAAGAAAAGGATCACAAGACAAGTTGGACAAAATAAAATTGGCCGGCCACTCATGAAAGAGTGACCAAATGCTTCACCCTATGATCTTTAAGAGAAAACTTGAAGAGCATAACAATTTTAAAGCAGGAGGTAAGGGAACCCAATTAGTGACCAAGCATGCGAAGAAGTTCAGTTCACAAATTTTGAGTGACAATCAAATATGTAACTACCCACATATCAGAAACATAATCACATATAGACATTCTCTGAACACAGCATATTTTAGAATAAAGATATATCACCGATATTAATTTACCCAATTACTGCACCATTTAACAAAATTTAAAAAAAAAGAGCATTAACAATTATATAACTAAGAACACACGAAAAAGAGAGCGAACCAAACCTTGACAACAGTTTGGCTAAACCATGAGATAAGCCCATATTTGTTTAAATACCCAGCCATTGCAATAAGTGCAGCAAACCATGTTAGGGTGTCCCAAGCAACTGATTCAGCTAAGCATTCCTTCCATGTGACAACACCAGTGATAAGGAGGACAGACAATCCAAGAATTGCAGCACTTACGGCATCCACATTTAGTGCACCTCCAAAAATCCAAAGCCCGACCTGATATAGCACAGATATAAAAGGTACAGATGGCTCAACTGGGAAATAAACTATATAAACTCATTTTTGGGCATAATCATACAAAATCACCGATTTCATTCTTAAATATCATAGGAAGCACACAAAGACCACAAACAACAGAAAGTCTTCATCAAAATGAAAAGATGAGAAGCTCTTCCCAGACAAACAACCAGGGAAAACAAGAACTAGAAAAATGCAACGTAGGCATGGGAAAAAACTCATGCTTATCTGGCTTTAGCTGGCAAAATAACCAAAATATTTAAACACCTCTAAGATACTTATATGACCTAAAAGATCCACCAAAGCCATAAAAACTATCCATGCTATGTCGGCAAGATATTTTGTCTCATTTTTATTTGTGCGATTCTCCAACCCTACCAAAGTTTGTATTGCAAGCAAACAAGGGATCTCATGTCACCAATAAAGTCATATGTTGTTTATAATAAAATCACAGTATCTATCACATAACAGTAATAAACTACAGAAACAACACCAAGTTCAACATGATACAAACTCAACAAATAAGTATTGACCAATCAGATAGATGGCAACAAAACTGCATTATCAAACTAATAAAACATTCGGCAAGGCCTGTTCTCATGAAGCAGATGATACAAACAACAGAGTAACACCAACAGATCAGATAAAAATAACTCTTAAGATGATGCTAGATACAAGCTACACATCAAGAGAAATAAACTAAGACTGGATTAAAGGATTAATCGCAGATAAAAACATAACCAGGATACATAGGGATGACAGAAGCAAAGAGCAGTGCTTAAACGATGCAAGAAAACAACTTTTACTGTTAACCAAACCTGGAATAGTTTCAAAATTAGCCAGTATGTTGGTATGCAAACACATTTTATTGCCACAACACGAAAGAATAGTAGCAGGAGAGAAGGTTTAGCATATATGAAGGATGTAGCACTATGCATGAATAGAAACCAACTCACAATCAGTCTATCAATTCATTCAGTGCAATGATTAAAGCCTTCACCTTTCCTTAGGGTAATCCATCATCAGGTTATAGCCAACAGGTAGATAATTACCCACCAGGAATTTCTTTTTCGCATTGAAGCATAAGAGAACATATAGAAGGGAAAAGAAAACCCAGTCAAGGAACAGCTTTTTCACTTTATTTAACACAAAGGGAACACAAGGTATAATAAGGTTTTCCCACCACTCCTTGTATAAAAAGAAGAAAAACAAAAGTACAATAAGGTCCAGTTGTGCAATATGCATGGAAGAAGAAGAAGAAGGACCTTCCGTAAATTTGCCTACAAAGTACTAGCAAGCAACGATGAGTTAAAAGATAGTGGTTTGAGCTAAGCACAAAATTATTTGAGATCTACCTGTTTCAGAAATAGATAAACCAGTAAAGACAACTTGCACACAGAGAAAAATTATATGAAAGAGCATACTGGAATCCCCCCATAATGCTGCATCTAAGTCTAGCAGAAAACTCCCAACAGGAAATCCTGGACAAAAACAGAGCTAAAATATCTACCTATCCCTAACAATAAACTTTGTAGGAGCACTCTGAAGGTGGCACCGAAAAAGTTTTGTTGCTACACATGTTGACAGGTAAACCCCATGGAAAAAATCCTAGCAGAAACGTAGGAATAGATGCTCGCCAGATATGTTAGGTATGACCTTTATTAGTTGACTACAGATCATGAATTATGCCCACACTATACTTGCTCATAGAGACCAATCATGAAAAGGTATTTTGATCAGCAACTTAGTGTTTACCTGTTGCAATATAAATGAATCATCTTGCAATCAAGATAGGTGTAACAGAAGAAAACTAAATGTGATAAAAGAGAGTAGAATTATTGAAAAACACAGAGTAACATAAGATACAAGTAGCCTCAGAAAACAGGAAAAAAGGCTTCCATAATTTCTGTTTCTCAACATAAATTTAGTATGTTAAGAAATAAAGGTAGAGGTTCTTTTATCTTGCAGGTGGAGCACCATTAATAAAGAAAACAACACACCTAGAAGCAGAGGAGACAAAATGAGTGCTCTACATCTCTAATATGTTCAAAAAGTGGAGAGGCTGAGAACAGATTTCGTATATTCTTTTACGAGCTGTCAAAACAAGTAGATGTCAAATAGAGTTTCAAAAAAATTTTAATAGGTTTGGGGCCATGTCCTGCATATATCTATTAAAGCTCCATGGCATCATTGACTTCAGCTTATATGAACTAGAGCAAAGCTAAATAAAACATCATAAAAGTATATAATGCATATCAAAGTCTACCTACTACATTAATTTTCTTACCAACAAACTACTCATCTAACTCCTAATTAGGTTGAAGTCTCAGGATGTAGAGGTCATAGGTTCAGATCCCTCCTCCCCCTCCCCGCTTCTTAAATCCCACCATTTCCCTGCTGGGGAAAAAAACACTCCAAATTATGCCACTTTGGCACTCAAATTGGTCAACAGAACAGAAGTTCACCTAGGTATCTCAGATATCATCAATCAAACTCACCAAAAGTAAACACAGGAAAACCAGCCGTAGCCAGTACTTCAAAGGTCAAAAATGACCAAACAATAAACAACTAAATGCGTAATGTTTTTAGATCTTAGAAATTGCTCCTTAACAAAAATCAGAACCTTTGCACGTTACAACCTTAAAAAAATCTCATACTCTTATAATGTCTTTATTCAACTTTAACTACTTTTACAAGACACCAGTGTAGGTAATTGCACAAAATAGTTGCATTACTTTCATTCTTCAGAGGACTGACTCTGCAACGTTTTAATATTACTGCATGGCAAACAAACATAAGGATCTGATTTGTTACCATAGGCATTTTGTAACACTTTACACTGAGATCTGATATATGCACAAAACAGAACACTGTCATAAGCAATTTGTCAAGAATCATGACCAATCACTAACATAAAGCATTAGTAGAAAAGTAGAAAAACAAATTTAATCAGCAATTGCAGCACAATTGAATTTCTTAAAAAAGCATGCATAAAAAATAAAATTTCAGATACGAGAAATGTGGAGGTATACAGAGTCATACTGTGAGAACCAGCGTCGCAGCCATGATAATCTCATTCTTGGACATTGGTCCCATCTTCTCCAGCTTCTCCTGAGCGAGCTTAGGAGCATCAGGGCTACTTTTCACCATGGGAGGATAAATCAAATACAAAAGCAATGGCACCACCACCAATGACACCAATCCAGGTACAATGGCTGCCTTAGCCCAATCCATCCACCCTATCGGCCTATTTATGGTATTCAAAGTCAAATTCGCAGCCAAAGGATTTGCAGCCATGGCAGTCAAGAACATAGAAGACGAAATTACCGAAGTCTGGAAACAAGTCAACATCAACCATGATCCCAACTTCCTCTCAGTCCCATCCCCAGTATTGCTCCCACAAGCTACACATAGTGACTTCACCAATGGCAAGAAAATTCCCCCAGCCCTTGCGGAAACCGAGGGAATAGCCGGGGCCAAAAGGGCCTCGCTGAAAACCAAACTGTAACCCAATCCCAGTGAAGAACTCCCAAATAACTTCACAAATTGATATGCAATCCTATTCCCAAGCCCAGTTTTTATAAACCCCCGAGCGAAGAAAAATGCAAGAGCAATTAACCATGGAATTGGGTCGCCAAATGCAGAAAAAGCACCCGCAAAAGTAAGCGTCTTAGTCAATACAGAAGCTCCTAATCCCAATAGCGCCACAGCTCCAAGGGGCAAAGGTTGAGTAATAATCCCAATAATTGTAGCCAAGAAAATCGCCAATAATTGCCAGGCGTTTCTTGAAACTCCGGCAGGTGCAGGAACCAGCCAAAGAAGAACTCCAGTAGCAATTGAAGCAATCAATGGCTTCATGGCCGCGCCTTGCCATGGTTGTTGCGGGGGTTGTTTCATTTCCACTGGAACAGAAGACGCTGATGGGTTCCCCGGTGATGCGGCCGACGCTGCAGCGGCCTTTACGATCAAGCCTCGCCGTTCTGTTGAGGGGGAAATGTTAGTAAAAGTCTTGCCATCGAATTTTCTGCTGGTGAAATGGGAGAATTTCTGCCATTTGTTCTCATTGTTGAATTGGAATTTCGGTTTCAGGGAGGTGAAGGGGGATTGGTTGTGGGCCTTGCGAGGTGGGTTTGGCCGGAGACGGAGATTTAGGGAGGAGGTGAGGGCCAGAGACGCCATGGATAATGGTGGTGGCGTTGGTTTGTTTTGGGAGATCTGAAACAAAGTGGACTCTTAACAGTTGGGAAATCAGAAATGTTGGATTTTCAATTTTTTAAAATCAGAAATTTGAGTGGACAAATATCGACCGTTGGATTGAGGTGGGGTTCTAGGAAATTTAGTGTAGAAATCTGATCCGTCAGTTTTTAGATCTGACGGTCAGGATGAGGTTTGGAATGTACGGTTTGTAAAGGGGCCAGCTGTAGCTTCTTAGTTCTTAGTTCATCTTCGTGAACTCCGCCTTATGATTTTCGCAGTTTCCGACCGTCTGTCAAACTTTGGAATGTTGCAGCGGCAATTAATATGCCCTTGCCACTGTGTATAATATGGAAATGGGGTAGGGACAGTTGCACGTGTCCCTGAACGGTTAATGGCCATGATTTGATCTCAAAAATTTGTGCGGTTAAAATTACAAGTTGTAACTCGATTTCCACGTCATGTGTGGGTCTCACAAAAATTTGTTCTAAAGTTATACGATGTGCAAAAAAAGTTACACGATGTACAAAGAAAGTTACGCGCAGTAGATAATGACCAAAATCGCCTGAACCGTCCATACCCCGAGTCCGTATAATATATATATATCTATATATATCTATATATATGTATATATACATATATGCATGTATGTATGTATGTATATATATCACTTTCTTTTTAATTTTTCTTTCTAAGGAGAAAATTTTAACTCAAAACTTATATAATTCTTATGTTCTTATGTCTCAACTTTAGTAATTAGACATTATTAAATTATTAGTAGTGTCTACAAACTAATTTGCAAATGGCATGTAGAAGGCAAATGAAAGCGTCTATTTTGTAGAAGTAAAAGTACATAAAGTTTAGGGGTAAAACAAGAAAATAGAAAGAAGTTAACCCTCAAATAATGATTGAGAATTTTTTTTCTTTTTAACAATCAGACTTGCAACGTTTGTATTTTCTTTTCTCTATTTACATGTAATGATTACCTCTAATTGAGATGACAATGGATAAAGTTAGACGGGCTCCAAATTGAAAATAATCACTTGGTAAACATGTATTAAGATTTACAAAAAGACTGCACCAGAAACAAATTTCAAAAGAAGCTAATCGTTTGTATTGATTTCAAAATGATGATTATTAGTTTAGGAGCCAAAAAACTTTGACAATGGAATAAAACAAGTAACTATTATGGCATTTAATATGTTGTTGCCATAGATAAATATATTATGTTGTAGATACAAAAGAAAAAGCATATATGCGTACATACATCGGATCTTGTACAAGTGTAATTACACATTAGGAGTAAATTGATGATAAATTTAAAAATGATAAAGTGAAACAAAAACTCCTAAATAATTATAAATTATAATTTGAATGTAGTTAAGATATCCAAAACCCCCTTGATCAAAGGATGAGTGAGTAAGAAATTTTATTGTGATCGTGTTTGGACCAACCACGACAAGCTACGCAATTAGTTTTTTCCTAATTGAATAAATAAAGATTTCACAGTCTTAGAAGAATGTGAATTATGTTTGACCTAAAATTATTAGGTATGCATAATTTTTGCAACATTTTCATTGGATAAAATTAATTTCTTTTGTCGGCAATAATAACTATCTAATATATTTCTATTCCTACTCTATGTGGATTGGACGATGAACCACCAAATCAGACAAGTGTACTACTATGAAAGGAAGGAGAAACCTAATGAAATTTATATAAGACTGGAGAATAAACTACAAAATTAGATAAGTGTACTGTTGCACTCTTTGAGTTTTCTAATAATATAAAAAATACTATATTTTTTGTGTGATATATTAGATAGAGTTTGAATCTCGGACCTAATATATGGAAGAATTTTAAAGCTCACCTTGTTCATTGGTTAAAAATTAATCACTTTACCAAATATACTGTATGAACTATAAAAAAAAAAGGAAATTTCTCGTGATTCCAATGTTGGCTAAGTTCCGTCAAAAAAAAAATGTTGGCTAAGTTGGCTGTCCAATGCTGATCTCGGGAAGTGTTAGTGACAGGTGGAGTTTGGTGATTGGTGAAGCAGTACATCTAAAGATGTTGATTTGTGGGACATTTTGGGTGGCCAAAAAGGGATACGGGGTGGGAACGGTCATCAGATTGACCGTTCCCAAGCGGTCTCCTCACAAGCAGAAAGGAAAGGCGAGAAATGAACCACATTAGCAGCCTTCAGCAAACGTCCAAAATGACGTCGTTTCAATATAAATGAGGGGAAAACAAATAGATGACGGTGTTGACCGTAACGGACCATCAGCACCAATGGCAAGCAAAGTCCCGCCTAAAATGAAACGTTCCCAAGAAAAGCCCCACTTACACTCTCCCAAAGGAAGCGGTTGCTGAAATTAACAAATGTAAAAAAAAAAATAGGGCAAGATTGGAGTGGAGAAACTAAAAGAGGAAACTAGAAAACGGGCAACAAAGTGCGACATTGCCAAAAGTTGTGGAACAGCGGCATCATTGAAGGAAAATAAGAGCAAGGAGAAGGAAGAAGTGGTGGCGGGAGTACAAGTTTTTGGTGATTGGGGTTTAATAAAAGAAGAAGAAAGTTGAACTGAAGTTTGAAAGTAGAAGATCGTGGGATTCGAAAGTAGTGAACGACCACAAATCAGTCAGGTAAAACATGAGGAAGCCTAGAATGATATAGTAATGCGTGTAATTTGACCAAAAAGTTGAAAAACCTTACTTTCTGGATGTTGTTAGTGTACACTATGATGATTGTATAGAGGGATGTCACACATGCATGATTTTGTGTATAGTAATTGATAAGTGCAGCGTGATAGGAGTATTACGTGTTAGCCTTTGATCGTCGAAACAGGATAGTGGGAAAGGAGGGGAAAATGTTGCGGCACAACCGCTTGAGAAAATGTGTGCATGGGTTTGGGAGGGAGTTTGTAGGTGTAAAAAATTGGTGTACGTTATAATTACTATATGCTGAGTAGATGTACAATGTGTTGAGTGTGTGATACACTGCGTTATCAAACAAGATAATTCAGTGAAGGATGGGTCATACAGCATGTTAGCTAAAAATTATGTTATGGTATGTGAGAAAAAAATGACATGGAGAAACATTGATATGGTGTGTTAAGTGTAAAGTATTAACATAAGAAATGTTAGTCTGTGATGGGTATATTGTATTTGATATTTCAAATCTGTATGTCTAGTGTAGCAATTGATGTGCATGAACACAATGTTGACTAAGTCTTACTTTTTGTGGACTAACAGGCACAGAGAAGAAATAGAGTACAAATGTTAGTGTAAAATTGGTATGCCGTATTTTGATCTTCATTACTGTATGTCTATTATATTAGTTCAAGTGCATGAACACAATGTTAGAAAAGTCATACAAGTTGTCCTTTAACTATTACATGGTTTGGATTAACAGGTACAGGATAGAAAGAGAACAAAAATGTTAGATTGAAAATGGAATGTGGTATTTGGGACTGCATTGATGTATGTTTATTGTAATAGTTGTTGAGCATGAACAAAGTGTTGGATAAGTATTACATGGCGTGGATTAACAAGTACAGAGTAGAAATGTTAGTGTGTAATTGGTATGTCGTATTTGAGACTTCGTTGGTGTATGTTTATTGTATTCGTTGCTTGCATAAACACAATGTTGGATAATTGTTACATGTTGTGGATTAACAGGAATAGGACACAAATAGAATAGAATTGATCGTTTGAAATTTATATGTCGTATTTGGGTCATCATTGGTATATGTTTATTGTATTAGTTTGTGTGCATGAACACAGTGTTCCATAAGTGTTACTTGTTGTAGATTAATAGGTATAGAGAAGAAACAGAGTAGAAAGTTTAGTGTCAAATTGGTATGTCGTTTTTGGATGTTCATTAGTGTATGTCTATTCTATTAGTTCACGTGTATGAACACAATGTTGGATAAGTCTTACATATTGTTAGATAACTGTTACATGGTGTGGATTAACAGGAATAGGACAGAAAGAAAAGAGAAAGGTTAGATTGAAATTGGAATGTCGTATGTGGGACTACATTGAGGTATGTTTATTGTATTAGCTCTTGTGCATGAACAAAGTGTTGGAAAAGTGTTACATGGTATTGGATAACTGTTACGTGGTGTGGATTAACAGGCACAGGCCAGAAAGAGAAGAGAAATGTTAGATTGAAATTGAAATTTGCTTCCATTTGAAATTGCATTGATGTATGTTAATTGTATTGGTTCTTTTACATCAACAAAGTGTTGGAAAAGTGTTACATGGTGTGGATTAACAGGCACAGACCAGAAAAAGAAGAGAAATGTTAGATTGAAATCGAAATTTGCTTCCATTTGAAACCGCATTGATATATGTTAATTGTATTAGTTCTTGTGCATGTTCACGGTTGTATTGGATAAGTGTTACATGGTGTGGATTAACAAGTACAGAGAAAAAATAGAGTAGAAAAGTTAGTGCGTAATTGGTATGTCGTATTTGAGACTTCGTTGGTGTATGTTTATTGTATTCATTGCTATGCATAAACAGGATGGCACGGATAAGAAGCAAAAGACGGAACAAGAGTTTAGACGAAAATGAAGGAATAGAGGCAGCGGGGACAAGTGAAGTCAGACAACTAGTTCCACCACTGAATCCGTGGATGAAGTTTAGGTAATGTTGGTGTTTATTAAAAATAATAATGATGAGTAGAATGCATAGTTAATTGGTTAATATTGAATGTGTGTAGGAGGGAGTATCAAAGCACCGTTCCAGAGAAAGGCATTAAGATAACAGAGGTACGCATAAGAACTAAATAAAACATTAATTTGGAAAGTTGGGGTGCGGTAAAAGTAATCGACACAATCAGAAAAGGGTTAATATTAGAAACCTCCCTCTTGGTTTCTTCAAATCACACCTAGCACCCTCCATGTTATCAAAATCACACTTAGCACCACTGGAATGACAACTTTGGTGTCATTATCAGCCCCTCTATTTGAAAATAGTAGTAAAAAATGAAGTGTAGGAGAGAGACTTTATTTTTGTTCCACTTTT